GGCTGGAGGAAGCATTTCCAGTTTGTTGGCAGAGGCGTTGAGAAATCTCAGGCTGCAAAGAGAAGTTGCATCAGGAAGTGCAGTGAAACATCCTACAGGTTTTGTCTAGAGGTGTAAATAAAATCTCTGTTTTCGAGAGTTTAGTTATAAAGCAGAGGTCAAAAGCAACAAGTTCACAACAGTGGAGAGAAAGACCAAAAATCCAGCATTGTATGAACAAAACTTCTGGTCGCTTTTTTAAATGAACACATTTGTGCAAAAAAAAAAAACAACAGCAAAATGAGCATGTCAAAATGCCTCTGTCCCCTTACCAAGACCTCAGTACCTCCACCATCACTACAGACGTACCTTAAGAGCAGTAACAAACCACGTCATTTCCATATTCATTCCACACAAAAATGAACTCTGAATTCATCATCAACGAACCATGAGAATATAGCTGCCCTTCAAGTGACTGAAAGAAGTCACTGGTAAAAAAGTCAGCCAATTTTTCAGTATTTTAAAGACTGGCTAGGGTGCAGGCGGTATTTTGTTTAAACCTGCAGGCCTGAAAAGCTACAAAGTACGAAAAAGTCCTCTTTGAATATTTGGATAACTAAAGATGCACCAAACGCAAAAAGAAACCTGAGACCAAGCAGCAATTTGCCTTTTAGGTTTTAAAGACAGACGGTCCTAATAGCAAATTAAATTTATAAAGTTATGTACTTGCTTGCTGATGAGCAAGACCTGAGACCAAGCAGCAATTTGCCTTTTAGGTTTTAAAGACAGACGGTCCTAATAGCAAATTGAATTTATATAGTTACGTACTTGCATGCTGGTGCAGCAAGACCACCAGATCTTTAGGTAGCTCCTGAGTGCCCTTCCCCTACTCCCCAAAGCAGCAGAAGCCCCTGTCAGTATTTTCTGCAGTCCCACCACCAGCAGCGAGGGCTGAAGCACAGAAATGAAGCTGTTCTTCCTCCCTCAAAGGACTTTTTCCAGGATGGGAAGAAGACCTGTTGAGGTGTTGGCACTGCCCGCTCCTGCTCGTCGAGTTCTGCAGGCAGAGCGTTCGGGTTTCTTAGGGGAGTTTGGAGATCACGGTGGCACTGGAGAAATACACACCGTGGGCAGCTTGAGGGCTAGAATTCACACGAGCAAGTCCAAAGAAATGGAAAAATCAGTCTGTTCTTCCTTTAGTAACCAGCTCTGGCACCACCATGCCTTTTCAACAGGAATAAGACCCCTCTCTTCCTTCCTCCCCTTCTCAGCAAGGGCTGCCTCGGAGGTGAGCGTGTGCCTGGCAGTCTGCAGCGACCGCGTTCGAACCAGGCTCCTTCCAGCCAACACCGACGGGCCGCTGCACGGGGCGAAGCCGTGCTCGAGAATGAGGGCTCAGAAATGAGCTGGCTGAAGCCTACGAAGCCACTGATACGGACAGAAAAGGCAGGCGCGCTCCCGTCGTCGATCTGAAGCGATAAAATATTGATAGCTTCTCCCACGCAGGCAGGAATCCACACTGACCTTTGAGGTCTGTTAATGAATGGAATGGATTTGCCGGAGTTGCAGCTGGTTGGAACTTGCTCAGCAGCAAGTCCTTCCCCTCTACACTGCCCTGGTGAGGCCTCATCTGGAGTACTGTGTCCAGTTCTGGGCTCCCCAGTTCAAGAAAGATGAAGAGCTACTGGAGAG